ATACTACATGTAGAGGTTTCTTTTGCCCTCTTTCTAAAAGAAAAAAATGCTTGTCCTGGTTTTGGCTGGGATAGAGTCAATTTTCTTCCTAGTAGATAGTACAGTGCTGGCTGGGGTCAAGCCACACAATGCTTAAAATATACAAAATAGCACTGATTTTGTTTCTGACTCTGGAAGCTATTGTTTTGTTTTGGTGGTAGAAAGAGAAATCACAAAAGCAGGTAGCTGTAAGCTTTCATCCTCTCTAAAGAGCAGCTGAATTAAGCCATCAGAAAGAAAAATCCCAGAACCCACCAAGATAATTGTTAGGTTTCATAGACTCACTCATGAGATCTAAAAAAAAAAAAAAAAAAAAAGAAAAAAAAGAAAAAAGCCACAAACAAAACAGAAAAAGCCATACCATTTTAGCAATTCTAAGTTAAATGTACTGCAAAGCATGCCCAATAGCCAGTTTTAAAGGACAAAGGTCCTTCATAGACAACATGAGCCCAAACTTTCCAGTTGAGATTGATGCCACTCAGAGGTAAAGGGACGTTAGTCCCCGCAATCATCAAGCCCTGAGCCCCCATCCTGAGAGTAGTAAAGAGTGGTGTCACTGTGGTAATTCTATGGTGCAGACTCCTCACTGTCAGGGCACAGACAGTCAGTATCAATTATATTTACGCCACTGAATATCTACCACATCTGCTGCTATGAAAAAAGAAATAACTGGGCCAACACAGGCCAGCACCAGTGGCAAACCTGAGTGGTTATAAAAATATGAAGACAGCTTCTTGTGCTACCTTGTACACACAGAGCAGCTGGTTTGAAAATATGTTTGAACGAGAGAAGTAAATGGTGGAGTAGTAGAATCCTCCAGTCTTACACCATAAAATATGCTAAATGAAAATAAAATTACTAACATTGTATTTCATACATCACCATTTTAAGGACTAGTTCTACAGTATGATTATACTGAGTAATCAAAGAATGAAAAAAAGAAAAGCTGTTCTTTTGCAACAGTTAGAGTCTATAATTTAAGGGAGGAAGTGTTAAGTACTTTGCTGGTAACAAGTACACGTCAGTGCTGTGGGCCACAAAGTAACTGATCATGAAGAGATGCCAGGTACTCTAAAACATAATGACACATTGAGACAGGATGAAGCCTTTGTGCCTCAATTTTTTTTATTTGCTTATTCTGTACTTGAAAATACAGTTTTACATATGCTTACTACTGCAGAGATAAACGAAGCAGTATACTTAATTACAGGCAAACAAGTTGAGTATTTTTATCTCTATTCTGGAAAGAGCATAGGACTCCTCTTTGTGGCTTAATAAATGGTATCTAACATTTGCCTTTTAGTCCTTTAGAAAATCCTGTCATTAGTTAGACACACACAAGATTCTGTCTCATGCAAGAATGGTGCATTCTTTAAGAAAAGCAACATAAAGCCTGTAACAAATCATATTTTTAAGAGAGTGAAGGCAACTTCTAGAGATTCTCTCCAGTTTCTTACTGCAAGTAAAGCTCAAGTTCACTCTTTCCTCAACTATAGGAACTGGAGAAAAAAAGTTTCAGAATTATTTAATTTGATACACATAATATTGACAGATATGTAACAACAGAATTTTTATTAATACTTAGAATTCTAAATTAAGTGGTGTAAAGGATTCCAAGCACTTTAATATTTCATAAAACTGATATGATTTCAAGAGTTAATTCATTATGCAGGAAGTTGGTTTACATTAGGGAAATACACTGCCTCATTCAAGACTGATCTTTTTTTGTTTTTTTTTTTTAATTTAAAGCAAAGAATCGATGTAGAAATGAAGAATTACTATCCCCTTGCACGTGCATAACCTGCCGGAAGGTAAAAGATGGTGGGATGGGTACGAGGTTTCATGCAGAACCCTTAAACGCAAGGAAGTGATGGTGCAGAATGCGGTGGAGGAGAGGAAGAGCAGCAATTTTGATTGCCCACATATACCAGTCAAAATAAAAATTTAAGTAAGGCATTTTAATAAAAACACAGAAACAGATGCCACTTTGGGGGGCAAGGTCCTGCAAGTGTAAGCAGCCTCCTGAAGCAGTACCGTCCCGGTGGAACCCGCCCTCGTCAGCAGGGACCTCCGCCAGCCCCCCCAACCCTCTCCGCCGGAGAAGTCCCCCCGCAGCTGTCGGGCACCCCGCCCTGGGCCGCGGGGCTGGAGAGCGGAAGGGAAACCCAGCGCCGGCGCCCCCGGGAGCGCAGGGAAGGGGTTACCTGGCGGGCTCCCAGGAGAGGGGTCGGCGGCGCGGAGGGACGGGGACGGGCGACGGGCTCC